ATTTTACTGCTCCATACTTTTATTAATATAACGTATTGAAATACGTTATCCTTTCCTATAGAGATTAAAGTTCGTTATTTTCGCAAACCTTAACGTCGAGCCCGGCGGTTCCGACGATTATTAATACGTAGGTTTAGTTTCGAAGGACTTCTTTAGAGATGAGCTATAGGTATTAAGATTCTTTATCGTTTATATTTAATCGGGTTTAATTTTTTTCGAGATAGCGCGTCGGAAACCGTAGCGTAGCTACCGGCGCGGTAAATAAAATTAAAGTTATATTGGGATTGGAGCTCCGCTTAACGCGTTTATCGTTCCGAGAGCCGTTAGCGGGTTATAAAGTTTTCGAGGTTTTTATAGTTATTTAGGATAATAAACTTCTCGTAGCTTTTTAGCTCAGCGTTTTATTACTCAAAGTACTTAATAATAATTAATATTTTCTTATCGTAAATCGGATACTTAAATTTAATTAGCTTTAGGTTTTAAAAATAAAACGTTATTACTTTTTTTCTTTCTCTTAATTATTAGGATAATACGTTACCGAGAATTTATTTCAAGTAGTCCGTTTTTAGAAACGTCGGTTTATTTAGATTTTATTACGTTAGAATAAGTATTAACGTAAATAAGGGTTTTAGGCGTTAGAACGCCTCTTTATATATAGGTTTTTGCTTAAAGAATTAATTGTTTTTAATTAGAGTAATAAAAGGGGCGGTAATCTCAGAGAATTCAAGGATAAATATACGGTAATAATTAGCGAATCTTAAAAAGGTTTCAATTCCTTTTACCGCGGTAAAAGCTTCCGAATTTAATATCGCTTTAATCTTTTTTCGGTTTATTTATATTTCCTTACCAGTATATATAATAAAACCTAAGTATTTAATAATCGTTATTATAAATTCGTATTTCTTAAGGTTTAGATAGAGCTTAATTTCGTAAAGGCGCTTTTAAGGATTATACGTACCTTAATTATATAATTTTTATAGGATCTACTTATATAAATAAAGATATCGTTTATATAAACGTTAACGAAGTCGTCGAAGAATCTTTTTAAAACGTTATTTATATATCATTAAAAAGTAGCGAAAGCGTTTATTAATCTAAAGGGTATTCTTAATTATTCGAATAAGCCGTATCGGATTTTAAATTGTTACGGTTTTAAGAGCTATTCGCTAGGTAAAAGCCGTATATTAATAAACTAAAGCTAGACGAGGAAAAAAAGAAGAAAAAGGTACGCCGTTTAGGCCGTACCTATAATAGCTAGCCTTATCCTTCGTAGGTATTAAGGACTTAATTACGTATTATGTCCTAATACTAGCTAAGGCCTTATTATAGGTATAATCTATTACATAAGGTCCCCTCCCGGAAAAAAAAAGTACGTCCTACCGCCCTTTTTCTTCGGCGTTTAGCCTTAATAACCTAACCTATTTTTTCCGCGCGCCTTAAGATACGTACCGTATCCTTAGGTATTACCTCCGTTCCCCGGGGTACGCTACTCGCTCTCCGGGTTACTAACTCCGCCTCTTAGGGTATTAATATACCCCTAGGCCTCCTTCCTTTTCTCCCCGGCGGTTATATTATACCCCGGGGTCTCCTCCTCTTCCGCCGTTTCCTTCCCGGGGCCTTTCGTTTCCCGGGGTACTATACCGGGCGCCTCTAGTCCCCCGGCGCTCTTCCCCCGGGTCCTACTCTTCCCCGGGATCTCCTCTTCCGAAGGTTTCTTAGGTTTCTTCGCTAACCGGGTACGTTTTCCCGGTAGCTACTCCCTCCGAGAGCCCCTCCCTTTCCTAAGGTACTACCGGCGTTCCGGGTATTATCTAATCCCCCGGAATATTATTTCCCTAAGGCCGCCGTTTCCGTTTCCCGGGTTATGTTATCCGTTTCTCGGGTTATTATTTTCGTTCCCCGGGGTATTATTATTTCCCGGGATTAATCCCGATCCTCTTATTAAACCGTAAAGCTTTAAAGCCCCGCGTACGAAGTCGCTATCGGCGCTTATTAGGTTTAGCTTAACTCCCGTAACTACGGAATCGTCGGTTCGTTTACCGCCGTTTAAAGACCCTTATTTATCTTCCGCTAGCGGATTCCGTCGGATCCGCTAAAGGACGTACTAAAGTACGCCGTCCGATTCGTTTAAAGACTATCGTTTATTTTCCGCTAACGGAGTTAAGGGCTCCGCCTAAAAGCGTACTAAAGCGCGCTTTCTCGTTTACTACCGTTTAAAGGCTAGGGGCCTATCCTTTCGTTTAAAGGCTAAGGGCCTATCCGTATTACTAACGGAGCCGCGAAGCTCCGCCGAAAGGCGTATTAAGGTACGCCGTCCTTATTCGTTTTAAGATTATCGTTTATCGTCCGTTAATAGAGCTAAGAGCTCCGCCTAAGGACGCGCGGGGGCGCGTCCTTTTATTTATTACTAGCGCCGCTAACGCCTTTATCGATATTAAAAACCCGGTAATCTTTCCGTAAACCGCTAATACCTCTAGTACCTTTATCGAAGTATTATTATCCTAACTTAACCTATCGTTTCGTTGCTATTTTAACGCTATTCCTTTCTTATATTACGCCTCGGGCGTTTTTAATTCGTCGACGAGCGCTATACTTTAACGCTTTATTATCTTTCTCTGGAAAAAAATTTTCCGCCGTTTTTAGCCGTATTTTTCGTCGTTCTTATCTCGAAATTATCGTTTAAATCTACGTTTTCTCGGGGCTATCGGTCGTTTCTTCGGTTATCTTATATCGGTCCTCGTTCGTAAGCTATTACCGGCGCGTATATTTAAAAACTAATACCGCTTTTCCGATTACTAACTTAACCGACGTAAGTATTAATATCGCCTTTCCTATTATTAATCCCGTTCGTTAAAATATTACTATTAAATCGTTACTTCTCGTCGGTCTTTTTCGTAGGTACTACCGGCACGTATATCTAAAACTAATACCGCCTTTCCGATTATTAACTTTACTAGCTACCGCTTCCTTTAATACTATATCGCCGTTCCTATTACTAATTCCGCTCGCTAAGATACTAATCCGTAAAACGATAAAAAAAGGTTAGTCTAGCTTTTTATTACGGTTTTAAAAGCTATTCGCTAGGTAAAAGCCGTATGTTAATAAACTAAAGCTAGACGAGGAGAAAAAAAAGAAAAAGGTACGCCGTTTAAGCCGTATTTATAATAGCTGGCCTTATCCTCCGTAAGTACTAAGGGCCTAATCACGTGCTATGCCCTGGCACTAGCCAGGGCCCTACTATAGGCATAGCTCATTACATAAATGCCGTTTTTAATTTGTTACCTTTTATGATACGGACTTTTAAGACTTTTTAAACTATTATAACTTTAAGGTTATTTCGGTTTATATCTCTTAACCGTTAAGGGTACTATAAGGTTATTACCGCTTATTATTAATCTTATAGGTACTAGGTTTCTTAATATAGATATTTTACTTACGTCGTCGTTGATATTTAGTTCTTATAGGTTTCCGGTTAACTTAACTCCTTTTCTTTTGAGGCTTTTTATTTGTTTTAAACTTTTTAGATTCTTTTTAGGTAGTTTATCTTCTTTAAGAGGAGACGAATTACTTAAGAGTTATTATTTATTAGAATCCGTAGTTATTCTTTCCTTACTGGGGCGTTGCTATTTAGTTACTCGTTTCCTTAAGAAATTTTACTTATTTCTTTCTTACTTAATTCCAAAATGAAAGAGTTATTAAAGTATTATAACCGTACTATATTTATTTGTATTATTAGGTAGTAATGGTACTTATTTTAATATATCAAGGAATCGGTTATAGTTATATAACTTATACTTTATATACTTCTTAATCTCGCGGTTTAACGTATTTATTAAGAGTAAACTATTGAACAGGAGCAGCGTAGGCACGCTAACGGAGGCACGAAATAAGGACTACTTAACTACTAATAACTAGCCTAGTACCGATTAACCAAGATTATAGCTGTAAATAGCTGTAATCGGTTAATCGGCTAGCTAAAAACGGCAGCTAGGAAAGGAAAAGGGAGGGACTAGAAAATGGGTAACGAGGATGGCTAGAAAGGCATGGCAAGAAACGAGTAAATAGCTGATGGCTATGATGGCTGTAATAGCTATAGGTCTAAGTCTAGCTAATGAAAATATAAGTACGCGACCTATATAAATAAACATCGAAAAAGCTACGTGGCCTAGATCTACCGCACTACTATACTATATACTTAAAATTAATAACTAAAGAACTAAGGAAATAATTATTAAGCTATAGAAATATCTTTTATTTTATATTATAGTCTATAGCTAAAGTATTAAAAATTTTTCTTACGGGCGGTTATCGTTTTCTTTTCTTAGTACCGCCCGCGTAAGAGGAACTAGAATAATCCTATTCTTGTGGTATTTCTACTTCTCCCCCTCTTTTATTTTCTGACTTGTACCTATTGGTACTCTTTCCAACTGTGGTTTCTAACAAACGTAAGTAATATTAATACTCTATATAATAAATACTACAGTATACTTTATAAATAATTATAATATGTATAGTTTTTTTAAATAAATAAAACTAATATTATTTTATTACCTTAAAGGTAAGAATTTTAATATAATTATTATATCTTTAGTTTAGCTTACGGTTATAAAAACATAATAATTGCTAGCTTAAAGGTAAAGAAGATAAGGAGGAAAAAGAAGTTAAACGTAAAAGTTATTTAATCAGCTATTAGGGTACGACGAAGTTATTAAAGTACTCTAGATCATTGTAGAAGTGTTTTTATATCCTTTAATATATATGTAGTGCCTACGATTGTAACTACTACTACTACTACTACTACTACTACTACTACTACTACTACTACTACTACTACTACTACTACTACTACTATCATCTTTTTAGCGAGGGGGCGTTATAAATCGGTTATTACTATGTCTTTGGTTTAATTTCCAGAGATACGTACCTTTAATGAATGTGTCGATTTGACATTTCTAACCTTCTTTTTCTCCCCTTACCCTCCTCAACCAGGAGCTCCAACGATGCCAGATCGCGCCGAGATGCCTGCCGAGATGGTGGGCGAAGTTCGCGAGTCTATCGAGGCTAAGACAACTGAGGAGGCCAATGCCGGCGATATTGAAGAGCAGGAGCAAGAAATGCGCACTTCGAGACAGGTCGTCGGCGATAGAGGTGTTCCTAACGGCATACGCGCCCCTTCAGAAGCAGAGGCTGATGCCGACGTCGAAGTTGACGCGGATGCGGATGGCGAGCCCGAAGAGGAGCATGCGCCAAACCGTCTCGATCATGACATGTTGACCATTATCGAAAACACGGCGAATTACCTCTCTAGCTACAAGGATGCCGAGTGAGTTTCTAGCTTCCACTCTTAGGCGACCACAACAGAAAAAAAGGGAGGTGTGAGCGGTTAATGGTAGCTAATTAATACACACGCGCCAGCGGCTACCATGTTGCCTCCCACTTCCAGCGCATTCCCAACAGACGGCTCATTCCCGACTATCACGAGGTCATCAAAGAGCCTATTGCTTTTAGCACGATTCGGGTGAGCGACGATGGTGGTTACAGCTACTCGCTTCAAGCTATACTAATCCCCAGCGGTAGACCAAGAAATTAAAAAAACAGTACACCGCATTTTCCGAGTTCGTGAGGGATGTGGCCCTTATCTCACACAATGCCATGGTTTATAATCGGCCATCCTCGGAATTCTTCCAAGATGCCGTTCGTTTGCGGGAGATTTTTCAGGAGGAGCTTCAGAAGTTGGTGGATGAGGGAACTGTCAAACCTGAGGACGCCGTTCTCCCCGATTTGGGGGAGATTCCAGACACAGAGGATTCCCCCCTCCCGGACCGAGATGAAGATGGAGCTGAGGAAGATGATGAAGACGACGACGAAGACGACGACGACGACGACGAAGATGAAGACGATTCGGACGACGACGGACGACAGCGAGGAAGACGTGGCGGCCGCCAATCTACTTTAGCGCGCAGGCCCGATACGAAGGACGGTTCCCACAAGAAGCGCGGCCGCCCTCCCAAGGTTTTCACCCCACTAGAAGCTCGAATTCACGCCCTGCTCAAAGGTCTTCGCAAGTACAAACATCCCAACGGAGATCTCCTAATTGTCCCGTTCGAGAGACTGCCGGATAAGCAGACAGCACCCGACTATTTTGCTGCTATTAAGGATCCCATAGCGCTAGACCTCATCAAGAGGAAAGCTAAGCGGAAGAAGTACCATAATGTGGATCAAGTTCTTAAAGATCTAGAATTACTGTTCGAGAATGCGAAGCAGTACAATGAAGAGGGCAGCCAGGTATATAAGGACGCAGTTGAGTTGCAGAGTCAAGCGCGCCTCCTGGCAGAGCAGGAGAAAGCCAAGCCGGACAACGATTTCGAAGATGAAGACGGCAGGCGACCATTGCTAGAAATAACCCACAGGGGGGAGGTATGGAGAGTGGGTAAGTTCGCATCGTGCTCGCATCCGCCGGACTGTGTACATGGAAGGGGTCGGAGAAGGCTAGCTGATGACGTGCGTGGTTAGGCGATTGGGTTCACATCGCGAACCCGAACGACTCGACGAAGCCCGTCGTGGCTCAGATCTACCGAACGTGGGAGGACAGGTCGGGCCAGAAGTGGGTGAATGCGTGCTGGTACTACCGGCCGGAGCAGACCGTGCATCGTTTCGAGAAGCACTTTCTCGAGAACGAGGTGGTCAAGACGGGCCAATACCGCGACCATCACATCGATGAGGTGATTGACCGGTGTTTTGTCATGTTCGTGACGCGCTATAACAAGGGCCGGCCGCGAGGGTTCCCGAAGGACAAAGAGATATACGTTTGCGAGGCTCGGTACAACGAGGAGAAACACAGACTCAACAAGATCAAGACGTGGGCCAGCTGCGTGCCGGACGAGGTCCGCGAAAACGATTACGAGATGGACATATTTGACACGCCGCGAAAGCTGAGGAAAGTGCCCAGCCCGATCAAGCATCTCCTCCGAGACGACGCGAAGCCGACCGACCCGCTGCCCAAGCCGACCTGGGGAGCGCCGAACGCACCGCCGCTGATTGGAGCCGTACATTGTCGTGAGAGGGAGCCCAATGTAAGTAGCGCAGTTCCTGTTTTCTCGTCTTGTGTCCTTCTCTCGCTCGCCATGTGTGCGGTCCCCTCTCTCCCGGCCCCATCTCGTCGTATCTGTCCGCATTTCATCCGCCACCGTCTGCATTACCTGGCCAGGTAGACGTGACCTACCACACGAGAGGGCGGGGAAGGAGGGGGCCGAACTGGGGATGTAAGGAGGCGGGAGAGAAGAGGAGGGGGGGGGGGGGGAGACAGAGGAACAGACGAAGAGGCAGAAGAGCAGAGCGATGCCTACCGCCTCTGTAAATCCCTTACCCTCCTCTACCTCGCTGCCTCGTCGCGTCTTATCGATTGCGCAGCGGCCTTCAAACCCCTCCGAAACAAAATTACCGATTCGTTTAATTCACGGTTGGAGGGGGGCCGGGGAGGGAAGGGTTCCTCCTTTTCTTTTCTTTTTTTTCTTTCTCCCTTTTCCTCCTTGGCAAATCTCTCCCCAATTCTCTCTTATTTCCCATTCCTGGTTCCGCACACCCCTCCCATGTCCCATCCCTCCTACTACACGTATAACCAGCAGCATTCGTCTCGCCCAACGCGCGTCGCGTCTGCGTGCCCACACGGTCTGCATCCACTCGACCCTTCTTTTGAATCGGGCGTCTTACCATCTGGCCGTCGTTGTTAGGAATCTCCGCCACCGGGGCCGTCGCCGTCTCCCCCACCACCGCACGCCACCGTCGATGCGGCGCGCCGTCCATCCATGATGTCGGTAGCGCGCTCTGTTGACGGCCAGGGTGACATCGCAATGGGTAACACGCCTCACTTCGCTGCCATCCAGGCCCCGCCTACCCCGACACCGCCGCAGCATACCGGCGCCTATGCGTCGCCCCATCCCTATGCGCCGCGCCCCAGTCCCACGCCGATCCCTGTCCCTCCGTACGGCAATCATATCGGCGTCGCCGCTCCCACCCCCCACCCCGGCCTCCCGGTTCAGGGCGTGCCGGCCGGTCATCATGTACCTCACGGCCATACCACAGCGCCGATGGCCCAGCCGCAGCACTACCAGCTTCACCAAGTTCACCAACCGCCCGTCTACAACGGCTATCCCCCTCAGTTCGGCGCTACATCCGTTTCTATCCCGCACCAGCCTCAACCCCCGCCTCATCAAATCCACAACAGTCCCGTGCCCGGCTACGACGCATCGCATCGTCTTGCGCCGTCCCCCGTCCGGAATGCCATCGCTGCCGCACCCACTCCTATACCACACGTGCAAGCCAACGCATACAATCCTCCTCGTCCCATCGAGGTCTACCATCTGGATGACACACTGGATGCCCAGATTCCGCAAGAAATCCGCGAGCAGTTCCAGCGTGACCAACTCGGCCGCGTGCTGTTCTTTACCCAACCACCTCTTGACCGCCCGCACCGTGGCCTGTCGAGTGAGAGTGCCGATCTTAGTCATAGTGCCCGCTACCTAGCTGATCGTGCACGTGAAATTGATGACCGCCGGGCGAAGCGCAAGGCGCAGCATGAGCTGCGCCGGGGGGATGAGAAGAAGCGACAGGATATGGAGGCGCTCACGGGCGAGAGGAAGAACAAACAGCTGGCTGACCTCGCTGGTGATATTTTTGTCGGGTGGGTCGACTCGTTGAAGGAAGAGAATAGGAAGCTGGAGGCGGCATACGACGGCTGGAGCGTTCGCGACGAAGATATCGATGCCATCAAGCTATCTACTACGACGGAGGTGGGCTAGTCTCAACGCCGAGTATGGAGCACGATATTGTTGCCTGCGGCACACCCAGTCCTAGCCTAGATATAACCCTTCCCATGGTGCTAGCAGTAATGCATCCGACCAGTGAGCCCTTGGAGGCGTTTGTAAAGATATCATAATCCTAGTCTCGTAAACCTATCACAATTCCCTCCCGCAAATCCATGGGGTGCTTGGCGCCTTTGCGCACAATCAGGGAGTTATGATTCTCCATAAACTTGTTGTCCGCCACCTAACTCTGCTTAGCAGACATGTGTTCAACCCGGATAGCCACCTACCTCCCTAACCTCCGGCTATGATTGACGAGCTTGCTAGGCTAAGCTAGGAGACGATCCTGGCGCAATGAGGTGCATTGACATTACCATCTTCCGACCCAGCGAGATATCACGGCGATATACCAAGAGGGCGATTGGTAAATATCACCTTTTTTTTTTTAAATAAAAACCCCCGGGTGGGGGTTTTCGCGCTTCAGAATCAGCGCCCGAGATAGTATCGCTCCGCTTAGAGCCGCGTCGTTCTATATTACTAGCTATCAAGCCAACATTACTAGGTCTCTATCGACCTATACCTGCCGCATTGCTCATATAAATAATGTCACTAGTTGCCAATTTGCTGGCAACTAGGTGTGGATCATCTGCTGCTCTATGTAGCTTGATCATCCGGACCCCTCCATTCCCCGAGGTTATCGTCATCGTGGCCTGGGGCTACTCGCGCTGCATTGGAGGATGAAGAAACTGACAGGGTTATGCTGGCAATCGATTCAGGGATAACAAGTGGCATCTCAACCTCCCTCACCAAACTCAGCATCATCTCTTTTTTCATCCAGGCATCGCGCCGTAACTAGCCCCTCTCAGTGGACCTGCATGAGCCTGTCATGCGTCGGCTCCGTGAATTAAACCGATAATGTCTTGACTTCACATGTGCCCCCCGACTCCTTAGGCGAAGTGACGCCTGATAATCTGTTGCCCCTCGGGTGAGAAATGCCGTTGCAGCAACGGTGTCGGGTCAACGTTGGCTGACTGGAGCAAAATCTGTATCGCTTGAGCGACACGAGCGCTTAGTGGGCCGTGGAGCATCTCAGCCTCCAGAGCCTGTCCTATGTAGACGAAGACCTTGTCAACCTGGCTGGTTACCGCAGGATTTTGCCTGTACACATATAATTAGTTACAGCGCGTCCGTCATTGGTATGTAGGGCAACCTCAATCATGTACACGTAGAAGAGGTAAAGGTTCCCCCCGCCGAGTCCAGGACGGGAGTTGGGTGCTTCCCATAGACAGATTTGGACTTACTGTTCGATCAGTTCTACCAGGTAGCCGTACGCATACGGCGCAGCTTCCTCGTCGTTCGTGACGGGCAAGGTGTTAATCCTACGAGGCGATCTGATTAGCGACAGTGCTTGAAATAGACGGTCGTTCCAGATTCGTACCATTGAGTTGCAATCATCTGCGGGTCCTGTACCCTCTGTTTATTGAAATGAAGGATCTTAGCGATCGCAGCGCATGCATTCTCTACACCCTCCATCAGCGACGACCAAATTACATATTTCTCCTCGCAAGACGACATGACTTACCAGTGGCATATATAGCCTCCTCGCCTCGGGCGTCAGGTATCTGGATCGCCTGGAATAGGTAGGGTATCGACGTAGCTAGGAACTGAGACCAAGGCGACCCTCCACGATGGGCGGCCACCCCTATACCGTATCTACGCAACAAGTCAGCGACGTAGGGCGTGGGTCTCTCGCAGCGGCTCTGATCAGAAAGCGTTAACTCACGCAGCGGCTTGCCGAATAGCGGCAGAAGGGTCCTTGCAGCCTTCTAGGAGAGCGGTGCTGATGGCCTGAGCGTAGCGAACACTTTCTGGTCCACAGTACTCTAGGACGTCGTCCATAATGCATAGTCCCCACTGACGCTGGGTGGGATCCGCCGATGTGAGGAAGCTCTCATACGTTCCCATAAGACGCTCCCACGGCTGAAGGAATGCGGCGCCATGGTTTTTAAAGATAGAATGAAACGCCTTGTTCATGTCAGACAACAGTGTTTGGTCATCTTCGATCGCAAGCATAAGCTCTTCGGCTTCATCTTCGACGTCTTCAGCCGTGGCTGTCGCCTTGTCTTCCTCGCGCCGAACAACTCGGTCTTTATAATCTTCGATCGCCGAGTGGACCCCATCGATAAATTTCCCCATATGCTCCCGAGTGAGGCAGTCCTTGCCAACCACCTCCACGGACTCGTAAAAGCACTGGTACATCTCAGCTAGGGCATCGATGGCTGGCTCGGCTGTGAGGACTTCGAGTAATTTATCTACTGTTGCGGCCCACAGGCCCCGAAGTTCGTTGGAACCAGGCCCATAAGCTTTCTTATACGAGCTGAGAAGCTGGGGCACGAGCTTCGCCGAGATAAACCGAACCGGATCGTGGAAAAAGAATGCGAGGCCGGGCAGTGCGATTTTCTCCATTGTATCGGCGACGTATGGAGCGAAGTGCTCCTCGAGGGTTTGGGCATAGACGACAAGCAGCTCAATCGCCATATGCTTGTCATCCATTGTGCTGGTTCTGATTCCTATCATCTTTCCCTTGAGCGGGACCAGCTCCCATCCATCCTCTTGCTGGAATTGCTCGATCTCGTCGTCCGTATCCAGCAGTTGGATATCAGCCTTCGCGCTGGCTAACTCGACTAGCGGGGGCATGACGTTCGGTAGGAAGCGTAGAAAGTCTGCCCCCATGACTCTACACATACGTCCCCAACAATGCATGAGATACTGAGACTGTGGGTCGTCCGCGTCAGTAATGTTGGTCTGGATATTGGCGAGGAGGTCCACGAGAGTCATTGCATCGTTGCCGAGACGTTCCTTGCCGACAGCCAACGCTATCAAGGTGGCACATTCCATGGCCTTGGCACGGAGCAATCGATACTCCTTTTGAGTTTCTTGTCGCAGGACGTTGACCAGCAGTGGCATCAGGGTATCATAGTACTTGGAAAAGGCCGCCTCGGCAGCGTCGGCGATGGTAGCGATAGTAGAAAGCGCCTGCTCCTGGACGTATCGCTTGTCGTTCTGGAGGAGCTGGAATAGGTGGGATAATAAGTCATCGAGATAGGGCTCGAGAATGGTCTTCTCAGCCTCCTCGCAGAAATTGACCAAGGCAGCGGCGGCATGGGCTTTAACACGACCCTCGGGAGAGTCGAGTACCGGAATGATGGTCTTCAGTATCGTATCGAAGTACTCCTTCTGCATCGTCGGCGCAAAGTCGGTACTCATCTGACCCAGGGCCTGGCACCCTGCCCAGCGAACGCGCGGGTGGGGGTCCTTGAGTGCGGGTACAACGAGCTCAAGAACTTGGCTAAGTTCCTTGATCATAAGGTCTCGACAACCTTCGGAGATGGCGGAAATCGCCATGAGAGCGGCGTGGCGATCCTTCCAGGCCATAGACGTCATCATTCTCGGAAGCCAGTGGAACGTTGGCGCGAGGATAGTCTCGCCGCCGAGCTTATTAGCCAAACGATCCATGCATTGCTCGCCCGCAACGTGGTTTAGATCGCTCTCTTCCTGATCGAAGTCGTCGGATGAGAGCCATTCAGCCGCGTCGTCGTCGTCCTCGCCGAGGTCCGTCATCAAACTGAGACACTGTGTGATCATGTCATTCGTGTACGACGGATCCTTACGGCACATCGACGGGGCATAGTCGGCAAAGGTGGCCATGAGTTCGAGCGCATTCTGCCGACAGATGTCGCTAAGTTCTTTATCTTGGACGACGCTAACACTAAACATGACCAGGTTCTGGAACAAGGGCTTGAACATCTTGGGCGATGCCTCTGCCAGTTCAATCAAGGCCACAAGAGCCTTGCTAAGGTCTTCGGAATCGTGCGAGTCCTTAATAGGAGGAAGGATATTAAGAACATCTGGCAGGAGTGAAAAGTATTTGGCGTGGTCCCTCCTCGAGATGCTTCGGAAGAAGGAGGCAAAAGCCTCCATGGCGGCTAGGCGAACAGCGACCGAGTCATCTTTGAAGCCCCTATTGAATGCTTCTAACACCGCGCCCTCGTGCTGTTTCTCTATAATGCCGGGCGTTGTCGCAAAGACACGATATGCAGTTTCGCGCTGGCCAGCATCTGCCGCCATGCTCATGTTGAAGAGGACAGCTAGGATTTCGGGCCATTGCTTGTCTAAACCAAAGTCAGAGGGGATCGTCGCGTTTTCGCGTCTCTTTCCCTGTCTGGGTTCATTCTCCGAAATCTCCCGTCGTAGTAAAATCGGGTAGACACTGCAAGGACTAGAAAGAGGGCGGGGAGGGGGGGGTAGAACAGATGGGGGAATAGAAGCAAAAAAAAAAAAAAAAAAGGTCGATGGACTGACTATTTTCAGAGTACTGCCTTGCCACGTCGGCAACGGCGTCGCTGATTTTATTCCTCACCCGGCGATCTGTCTCGTTGGCGAGAGTCTCGAGGAGTTTTTGGCGAATAACGCTGGCTTGCTCGGGAGGCAGGAGGGTGAACACCTCGCCGCTCTCACCCTTGTCTGACTTGCGGACCTTGGAGGCTATTCGGCGAAATATAACAGCAGCAAAAGAACGGAGCTAGAGGGCGCGAAACGTATTAGCTTTGCGGTTCACGTGCGTGGGGTGTAGACATTCCCCCCAGTTCAAGGATGGCCATCGATGGCGGTGGACGCACACTTGTTGCACTGGAGGCAGAAATCTGCTCGGCTAACCCCATCAACAAGATCTCGGGCCGGGTGTTCGTCCAATGGGTTTGTAGATGCGCCTCGGCTTGGGACCGTATGGAGTTGTCTGGAGACTGCAGAGCTTCGAGGAGCTGCGTCAGCTCGGCGTGGGTTTCTGCCGGTAGCATGGTCATCGTTGGTCGTTACGGGAGATGTCGACGAAGGCGAGCAGTTTGGCTAGTTTCCAATGGCAGAGGAAGAGGTAGCAATCAGGGAAGGTAAGAGGGGCAGCGGGTAGCGGGTAGGATGAAGACTTTGGCAACGAGAGCCAGCAGCGGAGAAGGAGGAGGTACCTCCAGGGTTGGATGGCTTCTTCTTTGTGATGTGTGCCCCGCAGGGCTAAGGCGCGCGACGACGGGCAACGGGCTCTGTGTCCTCGAACAAGATACCTGTGTATGGCAGATTCGCGACGATGACGAGTCCTTCTCCCAGACGGGCCACTCTAGCAAACTAAACACCCGGATCCAAGAGGGGATGCTGCGGGAGGGACGAAATAGGTGTCCGTTGTTGTTATTGCCGTCGTCGTCGTCGTCGTCGTCGTCGTCGTTGTTTTGGTGGTTGTTTATTACTATTGTTCTACTGTGGCTTGTGGTTTGTGTTTTCTCTGGCAGTAGAGGGCAGCGAGGGGTCGCGAAAGAGGGGAGGGCCCTTTCAGGTACCTACAAACCCTCTGTTTTTTATTTTAAATTTTTTTTTTAGGCTCGTCTTTACTATTTAATCTTTCTCCTTTTTCACCCATCGAACAATGTTCCTCGGTACCTCAGGTACCTCTAATAAAGGTAGGGCATATTCTCTTATGTAAGCCTACCGGGCACCTACCTCTCTACCTACGGTAAGGAAGGACACAGCTGATAGATGCGTTTTCAGGCTCACTCTGATCCTACCTAACCTACCTACATTAGGTACCTGTATCTGCATAGATATCTACTTAAGTACCTAAGGTAACCGACATTCCTCAGTCTTTAGATATTTATACTATATAGATAGATACATTTGACTTAAGTAGGTATTTATTATATAATGTAGTAGTGTGGTGGATCTAGGCCACGTAGCCTTTTCGATGTCTATTTATATAGGTCGCGCACTTATATTTTCATTAGGGAGATTTAGACCTATAGCTATTACGACCTACAGCCATTTACTCGTTTCTTGCTATGCCTTTCTAGCCTTTCTCGTTACCCGTTTCTAGTCTTTCTCTCTTCCTTTTCTTTTTCCTTTCCTAGCTACCGTTTTTAGCTGGCCGATCAACCGATTATAGCTATTTATAGCTGTGGTTTTAATTAATCAGTACTGGGCTAGTTATTAGCAGTTGGGTAACCGTTTTCGTGCCTCCATCACAGCGTGCCCACGCTGCCCCTGTTCAATAACTAAAGAGATATCTTTTAATATTATAAATATATTATAAGTATATAATTAGTATTTTTTCTTTTATTATAAATTACGTAGAGAGCTACCTATATATAGCTCTATACTTTTTTTCTAGTTACTCGCTTACCAAACTTAGCTCCTAATTCGCTTATATAATATAGCTCGTAGCTTCTTATTATCTATATATAGGTAGCTCGTATCTTTTTTATTTATTTTCTTTCTTCTTAGATAGTTAATTAATTTAGTTTCTTCTTTTTATATTCTGTTGCTCTTATTAAAGCAATCATAATACCTACGTACTTTTCTTAATTTATGTAATATTATAATAATTACTTATTAACTAATATAAATATATATATAAATATATATAATGAAGAAGAGTTTTAATTTTAATATCATATCATTATATAGATTGAGAAAGCTATATAGATACTAAGGTTACTCTGCTGGGAGTAATAAAATATAAAAAGAAGAAGGTAAAGTAATTAACTATATAAGAAGAAAAGAAATGAATAAAGAAGATACGAGCTATATATATATAGATAATAGAGAGCTACGAGCTATGTTATATATTAATATTATAAGAACGTAGACTTATTTCGTATTTTATACTTATTCTATTAAAATATAACTCGTATTAATAACTTATAAAGAGCTCGTGATAAGAATAAGCAACGTTAAGAGAATATAATAATTAAAAGAATATTTAATAAATTAAAATATAAATAAATATTAAGGAGGAGCAGAGCGTACGCGATGCTAGAGACCCGGATAGGTTTACTCGAAAGTATATTCTATCGAAGATTATAATACGTACGATAGTCCAAGATAAATAAAACTAATATCGCTATATTAATCGAGAGGTAAGGAATCTAATGTAGTTATCGTATCTTAGCTATACCCCTTAGTCGTAGAGATATAGTAGTCGCTAGCCCGAAGGCATAAGAAGTAAGGAAAGAAAAGGGGCAAAACGTAAAAGTTACTTATTCGGTTATAATAATACGACGAAGTAACTTAAGCGCCTATAATTAAGATAGATATATTAATCGGAGAACGACGAATCTAATAATAAAAACGAATCTTTAATTAAGGTAAAAATAATAAAAATAGTAATCTAGTTAAGTAATAAACTAAATGATAAGTATAGTATATTCCGTACTTACGGAAGCTATAGTTACTCTATATAAGTATAAGGCCTATCGTAACGTATTACGTAATATATTAAGAGGGTATATCTTACCGTATTACTATAGCCTCCTTAGTTTAAATATACCGTAAGGAATAATTAAACTAAAAAGAATAGTACGGTATATCCCGATTAATATCTCTCCTTAAAAACTACCGCGTAACTTTATTCCTCCGGCTATTATTTAATTACTACGGCCGCGCCTTTAACTTCTCGTTTAATATTATAAGGAGGCTTCTTTATTACTTTATAACTAACTTAGCCCGGTTTATCCTTACCGACCTAGCCCGATCGGCGTTCTCCTTCTTTATTTCGGCTACCTTCTTCTTAGTTTTATTCTAGCCCTCCTAGTTAAGGGGATAGTAAGGAAGCGGGCGCGTCCTAAGGGTTAATTAGGTATTTCCCTTCTACCTATACGGTATAGAGGTTTCCCCCGATTAAAAAGCCTTAATCCTTTTTAGTCCGGGAGGAAGGAGGAGGCGCGTTATAACCTTAACGAGGTTATTATAACGGAGGTTTACGTCCGCCGATACGAGGAAGTAAGGGGGATTAAGTACTAAGGCTATAAAAAAACGACGGACTTTAGCTTATGCGATAAACCGAACGAAGGATTTACGGCTAGGAGACTTACCGATCGGCGTATTTTAAGCGGACGCTATAACGTTAATAAGGTTAATTCGCTTTTAGTAATCTACGGCTTACCGAAGACGTTTAACGATACCTACCTTTCCTTTTAAAACTCGAACGCTATAAAATTACTCTACTACCTCGGCGTATTTTCTTATGGTATTAAAAGGATCGAGTCCCTTATTCTCCTAGGCTTAACGCGCGACTTCGATCGGTCGTTTAAAGATAAGATACGGTAAAATACCGCTTTAAAAACCGTAACTAAAGTTATTTTATTAATTTACTAACGCGACGTAATAAGTAAACTAAAAGGTTATATTAAGCTTGAGATTACCGTTTTTTTATACTCGCCGTAATTAACCGAACGCGTACGCCGCCCGATCGAAGACGCCGTCCTTAACTATATTAAAATTAAATAATCTTCGGAACTTAAGAAGGTATAATATTACGGCGAAATAAGCTTAGGAGAACTTTAAGGGATCGGTAATAATTCGTTTGGAGTTTATTAAATCCGTATAGATCGTAAAAACTAAAGCAAAGGTAGGGTTATCGAGGAGGTATTAACGGGTTAAGAAGTTAAACGATTCTACCGATCGATAGCCTATCGTTTAATACGGATTTATTTCGAAGGCCGCCTTTCGGCCTTCGAAGTCGTAGCTAGTTATAATATAGAAGGCGCGGATATTTTCGTTAGTAAGGTAGTCGTAACGGGCGAGGTATACGAGAAAGTTAGCTAAAGCTATCCTTATCTATTCCTATAGCTACTAGTCTATGGTTCGGAATCGATTAGCGGATAGCCGGAAGGCTTAGGTTATATCGGATCCTAATTCGATCGGACCCTTCCCCGAATCGTAATTATCTAAAGTATTAAGCTAATACTCCTTTATATTACTTTAGTTATCTTTACTACCGTAAATCTCCCGTAGGAGTTTAATTAAATCGGTTAAATCGGCGCGACGTACGTCTCTATAAACGGAGGAAAGGAAGAAGAAGAGGAGGATTCCGGCGGAACGAGGAGAAGATATCGTAAAAATAAAATAAAAAGAATTAAAGGAAAGGAAGAAAAAGATAATAAATTAAAGGTAAAAGTAAAAATTTAAATTAATAATAAGAAAGGTAGGCTAAAGATTAATAAAAATATAATAATTATAAGGAGGGAGGTTTCGAAATAAAATACCTAAAGAGGAAAAAAAGAGGAAGGAAGGGAGACGTATTAACGATATAATTAGATATACCTTTACGGCTAATGCTTTAAGAAAGCGCGTTCCTTTATATATATATAAAGTTATAATAAAAGACGCGTTAGCTTATAGCTTCCTATTATATATTCTTAGTAAAGTAATAAATACGTACGTTCGTAGATTCGTAATTAAACGTAGGCTAAGGTAGGTATTATCGAAACTCTCCTAAGTACGGTACTTACGACCTAAGTAACGTATTCGACTCTCTCGTTCTCGTCCGACCTTCCCTCTTATTTCTTGCTATTATACGGTCCTAATCTACTTCCTTTCTTCTATTTCCTAAGTCCTTTATCTTCGTTTTAATTCGCTTTTCGATTTTTCTTAATTCTAGATTTATAATTTCGTCGTTCCTATTTCTCTTTCTTTTATATATATATATAATAAATCCTATTATCTAAAAGTAACTCCTTAAACTAGACCGGGCGACCGTCCTTAAGTTATTCGAATAACTAAAGGCTACGGAAATTACCGACGAAAAGATTACCGGGACGTCTAAAAAGGCTAAGGAGAATAAGAAAAAGGCCGTAACGTATTAATAGGTTAAGTCGATACCGCCGCCGGTAAATCTAATAAATAAATAATCCGACGAATCCTTCCGCCGCCTATCTTCTACCGAGGAGTTCCGGGACGTTAATCGGCTAATCCTTAAGCCTTAATAAATACCGTATACCCCGTATTCCCGTCCGCTAAACTAAAGCCCGAAAGTAATTAT